GATGAAATCGTTTCGTTTTTTTCCTGGGTTATCTAGTTCACTTAATGGTTATTGGTTTGTATGGTAAATGGTGGATGCAATATTTTTAATTGTTATAAGTTGTGAAACAGGTTCATGGAATGGTTATTGTAAACGATTGAGATATTAACGTTAAGAACATGATGTTTAATAGGCAAACAGTGAAACCATTTCATAATAAGATTGAAACGGATCCGTCTTCTGAGAAAATGAAAATGACAGATGACTCCTCTAGAAAGACGTTGATTTGTGTATCATAAAAAATACGGTGAAATCATTTCATTCATTAAATGTAATAGTTAAAAATATTGTTTCCTTATTCAAAATGGGGTTGATTAAGGAAATTGATGATTATACCTGATTTATTGATATAGACGGTTTTACAATTTTGCCCTTTTTTCAATTAAATTTTTTTTATTTTTTTATTTTTAACTTTCTAATATAAACTAAACTAATCTTGACATTGATCAAAAAAATGAATGGATGAGATTGGTTTATATGGTTTATACAAATGAAGACGATTTTCATTTGATCGCTCCTCTCTCTCTCTATCTCTCTCTATATATATATATATATATATCATTTTTATTATATTAATGTGATTTTTATTTTAAAAAATTGAATTTATTTTCAATATACGAGAATTTATATGTGGTGGTCGAATATATCCGTTTTAATTATTATCTTATATTTTGACGTGTTCATTAGTTAATTAGTAATTAATTTATAAAATTAAATAGATTTAAAAAATTATATGTATAAAATACTTATTTTTAGGCTTCAAATTTAAATGATTATGTATTAATATGAGCATCCACAATCTATGTTTTAGAGGTTTTTGGAAGGTTTTCCGTGATCTTATTGGTCATGTGTCTTAATTACACGGCATATTTTTTAGAGCTTTTATGTATTTAATCAAGGGAAAATTGCACTAAAATAAAACCAACTTTCACATAATTCTTATTTTGTGGAATCAACTTTTAAAATCATCATTTTGGGCCAACTTGCACCTGATTCCTATTTTGGGAAACCAACTTTCAAAATCGTCATTTTGAGGAACCAACTTGCACCTGATTCCTATTTTGGGGAACCAACTTGCAAAATAATTATAGAAAAATAACTAAAATTCGTTTTTTTCCAAAAATTAATATAATAAAATTTATTTTTCATTTCAAATCTTGTTTTTTTAATTCAGATATCAAATTTAAAAATTTAAAAAAAATCCAAATTATCACAATAAAAATTGTTTTTTACTAATGCAAAAAAAAATCAATTTAATAAAAAAAAATTAATTGATGTAATAAAAAATAAATATTAAATATCACATTCAAAATTTTATATCTAATCAATTGCATCAATTAATTTTTTTAAATCTAATTGCTAGATAGTAATATATTAATTAACATGTACTTACCCAACTCAAACGTATTTGGAGTTGAATTGATGTATGACTCTCGAGTCTCGACCAACCACAATAATCAAAGTATTAAATAAAAAAAAGAAAATTCAATGCGCCACAGTTAATTTTCACCAAATTTTGTTGAAGATGGTTGACGAGCAAAATAATTAATTTAAATTAAAATATTTTAAAAAACAAACCTTTTTTCTCTATATAAAACGACTCAAACTGTAAAAGTTTGTATATTATGGTGTCCAGTTTTATACAAAATTATAAAACAATAGGAAGGGGGCTACTGTCGAGGCTTAAGACCTCCCAGGCACCCCGTGCCGCTTATGGTGCGACTTAGGCCGCCTCGCCTAAGTCACCCAGCCACAACTTAGCCAGCAAGCATGCCGCCCCACACATCCTTCTCGCTGCACGCCCAATCCTTAGCATTTAGCAGGTGATTCTCTTGGCGCGACTTAGACAGTCTCAACATGCATCGTGCCTTTCCACAACAATTTGTAACCTAGGCGCCTTTTGGCATGGGCTAGGCCGCCCGACTCTCCTGTTGGGCCCCCAAATGCTTGATCTGGTTCTCCTTCAAATCTGAATAACACCAACACACAAAGTAATGATTTAAGTCTTAAATTATAAGAAATAAAAGGGAATCTAAACCAAAAGTTCTGAAATCTAGAAATTCCCAAAGTCAGAAAAAATATGGGTGTTAGAGATGCAGATTGGCTACATTTGCCACCTTCAATTCTCGAAAAAGATTGGATTTGATCTCAATAAAATTCTGAGCAAGTTACAAATGAAATGAATATACTGAATGAGTTCAGACATTATCTACGTTCGACCCAGCACTTTGAATATCTAAATAAAGTCAATCACAACTAAATGCACACTGAAAAATACAACCAAGTCATTCAACTAGAAAAAGAAATTTTGATTAGATTTTTTTTTTAAATTAATCAACGTTGATTGTATAATTTTATTTGAGAGGAAAATATTGATTTGAAATTGGTACGACCTTTTTATAAAATCCGATTTTTTTTGCCGACAACAACTTTCTGTAACTCAGGTAGGACCTTGCGATTGAGAACTCATTGTAAACAAGATCCACTCAGAGGAAGGCCGTTCGTAATGGATGACCCTCGAAACCATAATCTGTTGTTACAACTTACAAGGACCCTCTCAAAATCCAAGGAGGAACAAAAATCCCCTTGTAGCCACGGAGGTTCAAATGCGGTGACTCCAGGCTACCTGCACCTGGGATCAGTCGGCTCGTAAAGCGGGTTGGACATCCAGGTTAATAAAAAAAATAGGACCCTCTCAAAACAATTATGTTATAAGTTTTTTTAATTATAGTATTAAAAGGCAAAATTTCTAAAAGAATTACATCAAACTTCAACAGCTACTATATTTTAGAAATAACTGATAATAACTATATTATTAAAATATTCAATACATTTTAACAAAATAATATTTCTCTCTTTAAACATATATTTTCTAAATCTCTTACTGACGATAGAGAATTAAAATAATATTTCTCTTATTCTCTCTCATAAGTTTTAGAGATTTCTCCAAATTTAGAGCATCACCAACAAATTCTTCAAAATGGTAATTTTGAGTAAATTTTTGTTTCAACAGATTCCCCAAAACTTCCTTCAAAATGTATGGAGAAAGTGAAATTCTCCAAATTTGGAAAACTCCCCAAAAATGATTACCATGACAAAGAAACAATTTTTTATTAAATTTTTTTAATTAACTTGGATATCCAACCCGCTATACGAGCTGACTAATCCCAGATTGACCACTTGTTTTGCAGGTAGCCCGGAGTCATCACATTTGAACTACTGTGGTCACAAAAGAATTTTTATTCCTCCTTAGATTTGAATCTGAGACCTCCAGACATTTTTGACATTTGAAGTCAAGCTCAAGTAGATCAATCACCACCCTTATAGTTAATTTTTTTTATTATTATATTCTCACCAATAAAAAAACATAGATTTTAAATGTTCATGAAAGAGATACTACTTTATTACACGTAAAATACAATATTTTAATAATATCATCAATATTATAATCTAAAAATAGAGAATCTATTGGTCTTAGATGTAATTTTTTATAGAGATTTTGAGTTTTGATTATTCATTTTGGAAAAAATGTTAGAGATGCTTTTACAATACAATATAGTACAACATTGGAGCGCAAAACTCCTTTAAATCACCAAAATTTCTATTATAACATGGCTGCAGAAGATGATCTAAAAAACTAAATATAAAAAATCAATCCCCAATAATTGAGATAAAATAACACATCAGCGTTCTTTATTAGCAATAATCTGAACATACAGTTTCGTTATTTCTAAAAATGGAAAATATGACGAAGCCACAACGAGGATTCACCCATCATCAATCATCTTATCGAAAAGATAAACAAGTCTCATTCATAACAGACATGAAAGTGATGATTGATGACTACGTTTTTATTATACGTGATACAATCACAATTTCCAGCAAACATATGATTTGTCGAAAGGAAGAAAAATAATATAAATCAAACCTAACTAAACGAACCAACTCAAAATTTCTCCAAAATAGAGAAATAGAACTCAAAATCTTGAAATACAATCAACTCCAATAACTTTTCAATTTTAGAGATTATAATATTAATTATATTATTTAAATACTTCACACATTTAGGGGCCGTTTACCCAAATGCTTACCGGGTAAACGCTTACTAATAGGAGTTAGCACTATAATTTATTTTGATACGTAAGATTTTAGTACATCAAAACATATAGAATGCAACAATATACTGGGTAAGAGTCGTCATCCTCACTTACCGGGTAAGACTCTCCATCATTCTCATCGCTCTTACCTGGTAAGATTCTTAACCCTTCTCATGCACATCCGATGAGGAAATTTATACGTTAAACACTTACCAAGTAAGGGGTCGTTTACCCAATTGCTTACCCGGTAAGCGCTTACCGATAGAAGTCAACACTATGATTTATTTTGATGTGTAAGATTTTAGTATATTAAAACATATCGAATGCAACAATTTAGTGGGTAAGCGCTTACCTGAGTAAGAGTCGTCATCCTTACTTACCAGGTAAGACTCTCCGTCATTCTCATCGCTCTTACCCGGTAAGATTCTTGAACCTTCTTATATTCATTCGATGAGGAAATTTATCCAGCAAGTATTTACCAAGTAAGTGTTTAATAAACTTTTCTTTCTCCTGAACATTCAATTTTAAGGGTTCTTGTTGGTGGGAATCAATCATTTTTAAAGAGCTTATTAAATTTGAAGAATTTCATACTATATCTCTTATTTTCTGCATTTTAAAGAAAATTTTAAAGACTCTGCTGGAAAAAAAAAAATCTACTTAAAATCTCAAGAATTTCCAATTCGGAGAACATGTAGGAGATGCTCATAAATAACTATTTTTTAATTTTTTAAAAACTATAATAAGATAAATCAAATTACAACTTTAACAACAGAGAGTGGCAGAGAAACAATACAAAAAAGTGGGACCAATTTTCAATGACAATCATTTCATTAATGATTTGTTCATAGTAAGAATGAGACCTCTTTGGTGCAGGAAATGATCCTCTTCCCACAAATCCAAACAGAATAAACATAAAATAAATATATGTATATATCAAAAATGGAAGAAGCAAAAGTTATTGAAGATCCTCTAATCCAAAGGCAATATGATGAAGACATACCTGAAGAAGAAGAAGAGGAGGAGGAGGGTTGTTTGAGAGCACAAGTATGTGATGAAATGAAGAAGCAGATAGGATTGGCAGGGCCACTGATAGCAGTAAGCTTGTTGCAATACTGTTTGGAAATCATATCAATCATGTTTGTTGGTCATCTTGGACAACTTCCTCTCTCAAGTGCTTCCATGGCCACATCTTTTGCTTCATTCACTGGCTTCAGTATCTTGGTCAGTCATACTTCACTGAGTTGACTTTATTTGATATGTCAAAGTGTACTGCTTAATCCCCACTTGGGTGATTAAGCATTAAGCTCACTCAACCACATAGTTAAATCCAACTTAGAACATCAAGCACCACAAGTAACATTCAATTAGTTATAGGAAACAGAAAACAGCTTGAAAACCACCATTTAGTACATAAAGTTTAGTTTTTTAAATATGGATATGGTTGTAGCTGAGAATGCAGTTATGGTGGCATGATGATGTATTGATGTTGGAGTAGAAATCATAATTTGAAGTTAAAATTTTCTCTTATTTGGTTGATCAGCAAAGAGGTTTCTCTTTTTTGATAGTTAGGAATGGGAAGTGCATTGGAGACCCTATGTGGACAAGCTTATGGAGCTAAACAATACCACATGCTCGGGATACAAATGCAACGAGCGATGGTCACTCTTACAGCACTAAGCATCCCTCTTGCATTTGTGTGGTTTTACACTAGCACAATCTTCATAGCTCTTGGCCAAGATCAAGAAATATCAACTACAGCAGGAACTTTTATCCGTTGGATGATCCCAAGCTTATTTGCATACTCTCTCCTTCAGTGTCTAAACCGATTTCTTCAGGCACAAAATATTGTAGTTCCTATGATGATAGCTTCTGGGGTTACAGCTTTGTTCCACATACTTCTGTGTTGGTTGCTAGTATTTACACTAGGACTTGAAATCAATGGGGCTGCATTAGCTAATAACATATCGAATTGGATGAATGTGGTTTTGTTAGGAATGTATGTGAAGTTCTCTCCTGCTTGCACAAACACTTGGACTGGTTTTTCAAAAGAAGCTTTGAATGATCTTCTCAGCTTCCTCAAGCTTGCCGTTCCTTCGGCATTTATGATTTGGTAAGTTTACAAACCTCAGTTTTGTAGGATTGGAGTTTATTTGAGAGGCTACTACGTGTTTTACAATATTCTACAACAACATGCTAAATTGTGCGTCTAATTATATAATCATGTGGCCTAGCTGCCATTAGTTACTGGTTGACCCACTAGAATGAAATGAGATAGATAAATCCATGGCTAATCACATGATAACTCCAACAATAATTGGGGTGTATTTGAGATAACCTAGAGGTCCCAAGTTCAAACCAATCTTGTGTAGGTAGGCAGCAAAAGTTTCATTCTCGGGTGTTTTTCCGGGATCAAATCTGACAATCATATGCTACAGCCTGGAATATTGGTCATTCGATATGGTTGTTTTGTTATCCGGTCTCCTTCCAAGTCCAAAGTTAGAGACATCTGTATTATCAATCAGGTTGGTTTTTGTCACATTCATATTCTATTTCCACATTAAAAAATGTTTTGCAGTAAGATTAACATAGAGTTTATGTTTGGTGGTTACTTTCATTTGGACAGCCTTAACACATGTTGGATGGTCTATATGATATCTGTTGGTCTTGGTGGAGCAATAAGGTTGGTAAAACTTATAATTTTCGATGTATATGTTCAATATAACACCTGGTTATCAATTGCAGTACAAGAGTTTCCAATGAATTAGGAGCTGCAAGACCTAAAGGTGCACGCTTGGCTGTCTGTGTTGTGGTTGTAATAGCAATTTTGGAAGGCATAATAGTTGGAGGTGTTACTATATTGGTACGCCATATTTGGGGGAAGTTATATAGCAATGATGAAGAGGTTATCAAATATGTTGAAAAAATGATGCCATTACTTGCATTATCAGACTTCTTAGATGGATTCCAGTGTGTTCTTTCAGGTACTGATAGTAAGCAACAGCTTTGTGCTAAAATTACACCAACTCTAACATTTGGGTTCTTTTCGTTCTTTATATTAGTATGCCACACTATCAAATCCGTTGGTTTTTTTTGTTATCTTGAAATTAGGTGCCGCTAGAGGATGTGGATGGCAAAATACCTGTGCAATTATCAACCTTGGAGCTTACTACGTAGTGGGAATTCCTTGTGCATTGCTCTTTGCTTTTATCCTCCATGTTGGAGGCATGGTAATATTTGCTTTTATTTTGCAAACTTTTCACAAGGCCGGGGGTCTTCTCGGTGCTCTATTTTTTGAGAGTAAGAGTCAGGTTTGTGTGCATCCCAACCCCTACCCCTTTCCCCCGACCCCACCTATAGTGGGCTTGTTTGGTTTGTGTTGGTTTATCTGTAACTTCAGTCACAGATTGGTTATGAGTGTGAATCACAAGTCTCTTATAAGTCCTTGGTTATGTGCTACAAAAACTTCCCACTATGGTTTAAGTTGGTTGGAGGTTATTTGGTTCAAATTGTTGCTTTGGGCTTTGGCATTACAAAGATATTAGAGGCATGGCCCCTCAAGATGTTGTGGGTTAAACCAAATGGGGATGAAGAATGTCGTTTTGGGTTTGGGGGGTCATGTACAAGAGTTTACTAGTCGATTTAATTTTCTAAATTGCAACTTTGTGTTTCAGGGGCTATGGCTCGGCATTATCTGTGCACTTTCTGTACAAGTAGTAGCTCTTGTTGTGATTAACTTGTTAACTAATTGGGATGATGAGGTGCAGTAACGCTGTTTAAGTTCCTACAAATTATTTAGGCTTATATAGTGGCAGTCTATATCGCTAACGATCTTTGATTTTGAATGATTTCAGGCATTGAAAGCTGTAAATAGAGTTCAAACAAGCATAGATATCGAATGATGTCAATGAGTTCGCATTCAAATTGACTCACAACCATTCAAATTGTAATTGAGTATACTTTGTTGTCCTCTTGAAAAACAAGAAGCATGTAGCATGAATTTGACCCTACATATATATATTAATAGAAACATCCCAATGATGACATATAAACTATAAAGAGTAGTGTTCAACCTTAAATTTGACAAGAACCATTATGGTTAACTAGAAAGCAGATCCACATTGAAATTGAATAGTAGTTTTACAACAATTTAGTTATGATTTGGTGAATTAAGTGGTAAGCAATACCCACTAATTGCTGGCTCTGATAATCCATCTATACACAATAAAATTAAACAGATGATAAATGGGGATAATGGTGCAGCAAGTACCAGACATGAAATTAACAGAACCATAGAGATGAAGTATGAAACTGGAAATCACATATATCCAAGAAATTGAAAACTTTAATATCGATATCAACGAATATAAAAACAATCCTAAAAGCGAATTAGCAGATAAAACATGTGTAGCTCGATAGAAATTTACCATCGTCGAGCGAAAGCAAGCACTCATTAGGGATTTCGAACTGGAAAGGGTCAACAAATTGAGGCAGGATTGTTCGACAAACTAACATCTATTATTTGACTCCTGATCTCGTTGTTGCATGGAAGAAAATTAACAAAATTCTCGTAGAAACCCTAGAATCAGAAATGAACGTGAGATTGTTTTTGATGCAAGTATTTTTGAAGTATTTCTGGCAAAGTTCAGACATTTTGGCGGGGAGTTGATCCCGAAAGAGTGGACCTGCTGATTGGTTTTACAAATGGGTGGCCGATTATGAATCAGACGTGTAGTAGCATTGGGGATTTGGAATGGGGTGTTTTGGAAGCCCATACCATTTAAATTCGAACCGAATATAATATATATATATATATATATATATATATATTATAAAGTATTTGACAAAAAAATTTAAAAATTATTTTTTTATGTATGAAGTATTGATATATATTATTTAAAATTCAAAATTATAAGTAAATTATACATAAATACAATTATTAAAGTTTCGTGTTTGAATTCGTGTAATTAACTATGGATAAACATAATCACATAAAGAATAAACATCTYATTTTAAAATATAAAAAATCTAAAATATAATTAGGATAATTATCGAGTTTTAATAAAATAATTAATTATTATTTTTATAAGAAAATTATGTTATTAAACCAAATATATATTACTTCATTATTGAACCTAAATTAAATTATAATTAAAAAATAGAATTAAATATTACACAAAAAATAAGAATTTTAAATTTTAATTTGATATTAATATCGATATATTTTTGTCAAATTTTTATGATATTTTCAAATTTATATTTTATTCAAAAATAAAAACATCATCTGTTTTTCAAAATCATATAAGACCATATTATAACATCGACTAAAATAAATAATAAAATGAAATATTAAAATCAAGATGTATCCCGCTGCATTGCGCGAGTACCCTTCTAGTATCTTAGTAATGTTGGATTTCAATAAAAGGGAAGTCATGATAAAAAAACATAAGAAGATATTTTAATTATTTGATCAAGCCTATTTGAATGTCAATGTTAATGAGGTACATCAAGATATACCAGAGATCAGTTCTCTTCTAAATCACAATTCATGGATGGGTATGATATTAAAATTGATCAAGGACTCTAATATTTTCTTACTCGCATGATCAATCGTCTTAAATGGTATATCTTCTAAGTCATTTTTGAACTAACCATTTATTGTTACAACTTCCTTCTAGGTAAATGTTTACTGCAAGAGTTGTCAGTGTCACTTATCTTTATGGGTACTTGTCATCAAATGGATTGATGTTAAACCTTTATAACCCTATAGGTGTTTACCAAGTACGACTCAATCCCCACATTCCTTCTTATCGGGTAAGATTCTCGATCATTGTTATGTTAATCTGGTAACGTAATTGAACCGGTAAGCATTTACCAAGGTAAAATATTTAGTAAACGACCCTTAGTTATTTGGTAAGCCATTGCCAACAAGAGTCACTATCTACTAGCAGGTAACATTCTCGACCATCAAAATGGATTGTTAATAAATGATTAAATGTCTTTTATCTGGTAAACTTATATCATGGGATTTCAAATCATACGTTTGAAGGATTTCAATCAAATCCCGGGATTTCAAACCTAGATAATACTTCAAACCAAATATGGGATTGAAATGTAATTCAATTTCAAATCCATCCAAATTCAACCCAATCCTGCAAACCAAACGTGACCTTAGTTTACATCTAGTGACTTCTTGGTCTTCAATGCATACCCATTAATTAAACGTTTACGGGTCAATAGTGTTCACTTGAAAATGTATCAATCAAACTACATATAGATCGTAACATGGTAACAAACGCATGACAATCATCGTAAGATGAAAATAATTTAGTGATTAATGGATTAAGTCAAACACAACCAAATGCAAAGATGTTTCTCATCATGTATACATGTTTATAATAAGATCTCAACTGATAAATATATACGTGCTTCTCACCATGTATCTCGACTTCAACATATCTGGCCAACTTTCTATTTGGTATAGAGGTGATTCTCATAATGTGAATCGTTTCAGCTTCTCTCAAGAAATATATTATGTTAAGGAGGGTCCTTATTACTGTTACAATCAATGTAACCTATTTTAGTTTAATCTCAACCCTTGATCTCTCCCATTTTTAAGGAGTTCATTATATAATTAAATTTTATATTAACTAGAAGGGTACTCGCGCAATGCAACGAGATATATCTTGATTTTAATATTTCATTTTATTCTTTATCTTAGTCGATGTTATAATATGATCTTATGTGATTTTGAAAAAAACAATGATATTTTTATTTTTGAATAAAATATAAATTTGAATATATCATAAAAATTTGACAAAAACATATCGATATTAGTATCAAATTAACTATTTAAAATTCAAATTTTTTGTGTAATATTTGAATTTAATTTTTTTTATTATAATTTAATTTATGTTCAATAACGAAGTAATTTATAATTGGTTTAATAATATAATTTTATGATAAAGATAATAATTAATTATTTTGTTAGATATCGATAATTATCTTAATTATATTTTAGATTTTCTATATTTTAAAATGAAATGTTCATCTTTTATTTGATTATGTTTATCCACAGTTAGTTACACGAATTCAAACATGGAGCTTTAATAAGTTGTACTTATGCATAATTTACTTGTAATCTTGAATTTTAAGTAATATGCATCAATATACAGTACTTCATGCATAAAAAATGATTTTTAAGAGTTTTTGTTAAATGCTTTATAATATAGTATAAATTAATGAAAGACCCTAAACAAAGTAAAATTGGGTCCCAATTTTTTCTTGAAAACCGTTTTCAAAATCACAGATTTAACATGTTAAAGAACGAATATATTAAAAGATATGTAACAACAATTTTCACAACATTAACTGGTTTTGATGTATATAAGGAGGTGAATGGTTCAAACCTTATCAAAAGTAAGAAGAATGTGTAAATTTATTCGTTGCTTTTGTCTTATATAAATATCATATATTTGGGAAAAAAAAACATTTAACAGGTTTTTGATTATGAAAACTTGATGATATTCTAAAAAGTGAAAATTTCATTGTTGCAACCAAACAATTTTATTGCTTTTCGGATGGGGCGAATGTATGCCCACGAACTTGGGGTATCTATCGATCGCCACCATATCCGCATATGTGCCACGTGTGTGTAGTAAAATATACACCTGCGCATTTTAACATTCGCCGCCCTCTCGTCCAACTTTCCCGGCGGCGCTCTCAAAGAAATAAACACACGATGTCGGTTACCACCAGTCTCTACCCACCAAACCCTCTCACGCTTCCTCACCTCAGCCCCCATGCACCTCGGCGCACGTTGTCTTTCCCCATGGCGACCATCATCCGCCGCCATCTAAACCCTATCTGCCGTCGATCCCTCGCCGTCGCGGCGGCAGTTCGTCAACAACAGGACACCACTCTCTGGACTCCTGCCCCTCTTGCGAACGTAAAACCTGCCGCGGAGTCTCTATTCCACATAACAATCGACGTTTCAGATTCCCCTGATCTGGCCTCATCATACACCCTAGCCGGACAATATCTCCAACTCCGTCTTCCCGATGTCGAAAAACCTTCGTTTTTAGCGATTGCTTCGCCTCCGTCACGGGCTTCAACAAACGGTGTTTTTGAGTTTTTGGTTAAAAGTATCGCTGGATCCACCGCGGAGCTATTATGTGGTCTTGGGAAAGGGGATGTTGTAGAGTTGAGCCCAGTTATGGGGAAAGGATTCAGCACAGATCAAATATCTCCACCAGAGGATTACCAGTCTGTTCTAATTTTTGCAACAGGATCTGGGATCAGGTATCTTTGCATTTTTCGATAATTCACTCGATATCTCGAGCTTGTATAGATTTCAATCTATATGTTGCAAAGTGGATTTCTCGATAATTCAACTCGATATTTCTAGATACCATACAATTGGATTTAAAGGACTTCGCATCTGTCCAATTTTCCGATGGTTAGATCTGTATGTTGCAAAGTATGCTAATATTGTATATAGGGGGGTTAGGCTGATTATTCCAAAGCATGAAGCCGCAGAAAATGTGCTAAATATCAGTATTGGGGATGATTGGTTGGCTTATGTACGGATAAAGTTGTGTGATTAATATGTCTCCGTAGATTGGGAGAGACAGGTTTAGAAAAAACTTGACTTTCTGCATAAAGCTCCCACCTAGATGCTTACTGAATACACCATTTTCTATATCGTTAAGCCACTACCAAACAGTCATGTAGAACTGACTCATTAAGCTACTAACAAACAGGACACTTCCCTGTTAATATTGATAACAAAAACTTACAGGGACTTGATAATTGTAGCAATCTTTCAGCAGAATTGAAGGTTTCGTTTGATGAGATATAATAAACCAATGGGTGATATTGAGCAACCCATCAAGGTTGGATCTACTTTGATATGCTTCTGGTCTCCGGCAATATTTGGGATAAGTTTCATGGATGGTGTTCTTGATGATGCTTATAATGCACAAAAGACCTCATAGCACCTTCTAATTAACATAAGCCACTGAAGAAGAAATGCAAGATTCAATAATAAATAAGCTGTTAGATACGTACTTAAAAGGAAGGGATTAGTCGATTAGAGATGAGATCATATGAATTTTTATGTCTGTTGAGAAATTTATCGTCTTGGATATTAACTGATCATGGTTGATATGATATTTACCGGAAAAATGAATATAATAGGCAGTGTGAGACATTGTATGATTAAGTGTCATGTAAATGTGAGGTGTTTGTGCATGTTAGCCTACATTCCATTAAAGTATGTGTCATGTTACTTGGAAATCCTGTGTTGCCATCATGCCCACCTCAAAGCGTCTTTGTTCGTTATGTACCATTGGGTGTGGATAGAGGCATGGAGCGAAATGGAGACATGGAGATCGTGTGTTGGATAACATATGACCAGTGCTTCTAGTTTAGCATCGAGTGTTTCCAAAATAGAAAATAGTAAGTTCCTCGTGTAAAAACCTTGACAGTCAGTGACCAGTAGGGATTTTCTAGCTAATTATCTTCAGGGCCCATGGGATTAGTCGAGGTGCGCAAAAGCTGCCTCGGACAACCACGGTCTCTATGCAAGACCCTATAAGTTAGGAATGTACTTTTTTACTGTTGGAGCCTCGTGTGTGGAAATGTTTGATAGATTACACCATCTTCATGATCATCACATACCGCTACTGTTTACATTTTTACTGGTCTGTCTCTCTACAAGTTACTCATTTCTGATAATGTATCTCATGCAGCCCCATTCGATCTTTAATCGAATCAGGCTTTAGTGCGGACCAGAGATCAGATGTGAGGTTATATTATGGTGCAAGAAACCTTCAAAGGATGGCTTATCAGGTTTATTTTGAGCTTTAATTTTCTCTTATTTATTTTATCCTCGAATGATTCTGATCTTGCATTTTGTTCAACCATTATAGGATAGATTCAAAGCCTGGGAATCTTCCGGAGTTACTATTGTGCCTGTGTTGTCCCAGCCTGATGACAGTTGGGTCGGTGAAACCGGCTATGTGCAGGTAGACGTTTCTTTGCAGTTTATTTCTTGTTAGTCTTTCAAGGTCTGTCATTTCCCTTGTTACCAACTTGCCATGAATCTCTCCATGTCTTGAGCAGGCAGCGTTTGCAAGAGCTAAAAAAGTGTATGCACCTGAGTCAACGGGTGCAGTCCTTTGCGGTCAAAAGCAGATGGCTGAGGTAAGTTTTTAAGTTCTTAGATAGTCAATAACTTGGCCAAAGATTATCATTGTTATAATAATACTGTTACATATATCCTCTACTTTTAGCGGTTTTTTGTTCCTCCACAGCATTAGTTCTGCCAATGATGAATTAACTAACAATAAGATAGCTATGAGAATAAGTTTGCGAAATCAATGAAACGATATTCTTTCAACAGTAATCAAGTACGTCGATCAATGGGATAGGTAAGAGTGAACCAATAGTCGAGGAGTTCCACTTTTCCATTAAAATAGTTAAAGAGTGAAGGCGGAAAATAGTTTTTTCATTGCTTAATGCTTCTACTTGAGTTGTTCGACATGAAAATAATCGGCCCATAAGTTGATTCACCTTTGGAGAAGGTCTTAGTCGTCACTGACAAACCTCACCTTTATGTCATGCCTTGAAAAGTGCCACGCCCTTGCTGTGACATATACGGGTCGAGGATCAATGGCAGTTGTGCTTCAAGCTTGTTTTTGTTCTCTCTGTTGGGATGCTTCTTGACTTTACGCTTTCACTTTTTAGAAGATTCTTTGGTTCAGAAAAAGAAACCTCTCCATGTGTGCTAAGTAACAGGTGTTGATATTAATGCACTCCTCCGTGAGATTCTGATGGTTTCACAGATTTCCTTGGAGTACGATCGATCTCCTAGATAGATTCTGATTGAAACCGACAAACCTTTTGACAGTTTAGTAACTGCAAGCTTTCCACGGGCCTTGTGGTTTGCAATGTCACTGTTGAAACCGTTTTACTAACCAAGTTAAGCAATTTCCGTGTGGTATAGTCGAGTTGAAGCTCCAACTCTGCCATCTCATAAGAGAGAACAAGTCATGGGCTCATGGCTGTAGGGTGCATCATAGGAATCATTACAGCCTCATCATATCTGATGCTTTGCTGAATGGTCATCTGAACCAGTTGAAGCTTGTGCTATAATAGTCTATACCTCATCAATCATGTTTTATAACTTCTAATAAAAATCCTGCTGGACAAATGGACTGAAAAGAACCACAATTATTGGGGCCTGGGGATATGACTCTTTCGGGAAGAAGATGCTTTCTTTCTATTTGTTTAGAACATCAAAATATTTGAACTTGTTTGATGATTTGATTAGGGGTGCACAAAAACCCGTCAACCCGCCCAACCCAACCCGCTAACAATCCAACCCAACCCGCCAAACCGTCTACACGCCAATTAGGAGGGTTGAAATTGGGTTGGGCCTAGCTCACTCCGCCCAACCCGCCAAACCGCTGCTAATATATAATTTTTATAAAATTATATATATATATATGTTTATTATGTGATATATGTTAATAATGTAGAATTTTTATTGATATTATGTTTCTATTTCATTTTAGCTAAACGTATATGTTACCAAAAGTTATTCACGATCAAAAAATGATGACAAATAATCTAATTGATAAGAGAAAATTATTGAAATCTTTTTTGCAGCAACAACAAATTGATATGTCGGAGAATATGAATGATACTAATAGATATTTTGTTGACGAATCCATCAATTTAAGTACCCCGTCATTTGATGATGTACTTTAGTGGAAATAAAATGTTTAGCTATAGCATTTCGTTACAACAACATTAGATCTTATAGGATGACTTAAATGTTTAAGCGTCCTAATATGATTCTTTATAGGACGAAACAAGAAAAATGTCTTATTTAAAAGAGTTACAATATGTTTATAGGATGATTTTAGGCGTCCTAACGAATTTTATGACTCTTTTAAAATAAAGTATCATATTAATTATTTTATACGACACGACTTGAAAAGTGTATATGAACATAGGTGTCCTATAAGTAGATGAGTTTCAGGGACACTTTTCAAAATATCTATATAAAATAACTAACACGACATTTTATTTAAAAATCATTCTAAAACACTTGTTGAAGCGTCCAAAAATGTCATGTAAACCTATTGTAACCTTTTTAGATAAGACGCTTTATAATATGGTCTATAAACTTAAGTTTTATGAATTATTTTATTCGTCAAATTTATGTAACTACTAACCCGCCAACCCAACCCAACCCAATCCGTCTCAACCTGCAAGGGTTGGGTTGGGTTGGGTTATACTTTTGAATGGGTTGGGTTGGGTTGAGATTTTTCCAAACCGCCATAATTGGGTTGGGTTGAAAAAATGTTGTAAACCGCCCAACCTGCATGCACCCCTAGATTTGATTAGTCCTGGGATACATTTGTATTCTAAAAACAAAACGTGTGTTGCAGGAAGTGACTTCTATACTTGTTGGCAATGGAGTTCCTGATGGGAAGATCTTGAAGAACTTCTGAGACCCACCAATTAATCGAGTGGATTGTTGTACAATTTTTGGGGGAATCGAGTCCGAAATCATAAAATAGCACACCATTTTTGAGATGTAAATGTACAATTAATTGTTACCTACATTAACATAGAATAGAAGACGTCCAAAGGCCGGGTTCGATGGTACGAGTGTGTGCACGAATCGGTGTTGGTCTGCTTTCTGTACTATGTAACCTTTTATTTATTTTAGTCATGGCAAATTTGAAATTAAAGAAATTGTAATTGAATGTTGTTCCTTTGGTCCCTGTATATTTCCAGATATCAACGAGTCCATTCTCATGTTCTGGAAATGTGGATTTTTGAGGTATTGTAGAGGTTTTTTTTAATATATTGACAGGTTTTTTGGTTAGAGGTGTAACTGGACCACTTGTTTGTTCGGTTTTCGTGTTTGATGGGTTCTTAATTTTATAAAAGTTTTGTATTTAATCAGATTTTTTATTTATTAATATAATTAAATAATTATATTAAATGTAGTTAATAATAAATAAATAATTAAAATAATTATAGTTTTTGATATATTTAAATTAATAAACAAATTTGTACATGTTTTATACATTTTATATGGATTCTTTAAAAATCCAGTATCTATAAATTCACTTTCTTTTTTAATTTTTATTGTACATGCTTTTAACTATGGCATTTAAGTATTTTTTAGAACAATTTATATATGATATTATATTATATCATCGTATGTGATATGAATGTTTTTGTATTTTCGTAAAATAAAGGTGTTCTCATTGAACCACCAACTATATATATATATATATATATATTATATCATCGAATGTGATATGAATGTTTTTGTATTTTCGTAAAATAAAGGTGTTCTCATTGAACCACCAACTATATATATATAGGGGTGTTCAAATAAAAACCATGAAAACTTCATTCAACCAATCATAATTTTTTATTTTTTTCATTTTTTTGTAATTATGAGAGGTTGATAAACCATTTTTATTGTGGAGGGTGTTAATCATGGATATTATCATATTCATTATTTTAATTTTAGAGAAATACATGAAACAGTTTCATTAAGTAGTATATGAAATAATTTCATAACCCCATATGAAACAACTTCATCAAAAAAAGTATTATATGAAACAATTTCACAAGATTAACAATTTCATGAAAAAATTTCATAAGATTAACGATGCATGAGAGTAGTTTTTACAAATTGAAGTGGTTTTCATTTGATCGCTCATCTCTCTCTATATACATACATACATACATACATACATACATACATACATACATACGTACGTACATACATACATACACACACGCACGGACAATCTTTTGCAAACTCTACCAAGGTTATAAATCATGCAAACTATTCCTACCCCTCCATTCTCTTAATCGACGGTTGAGATTTTTCTGAATAAATATTGATTTAAAAAATTAAGAAAATGGTAGTTTTTGAATTTATGTTAATTAATTTTAATTTTTATATTTACAAGTTATAATTATTTCCATATTTTTCTATGAATTTCTCACCATACCCCTCCCCTCTCTCTCCCTCTCTCCCGTGCGCGCGCGATCTGCTGCAACCATCGGCCATCGCCAGTAAAACCACAACCACCAGCCACCTCATGGAGTAAAGTAATAATCGTGGTTATTTGTCTATGATTCGTGCATTAGTGAAGTTAGATGACATTGAATGGTGCAGAGAAACTCTTTGCCGAATGGGAATCTGAAAACTTGTCTTTTGATTTCAGAATACCCAACTTGTTAATTAATGCTTACTGCAAGAAGGATCTTTTGGCAAAGGCTGAATAATATGTTGGCCGAACTGGAGATAAAGGGGAAACAACCTCTGGCAAGCACATGGGTTTTGTTCACAATTGCATTTACAAGAAAGAACGAGATGGAGGAGGCGGTGGAAATGCTAAAAAAGGGTGTGGAGGCTGTAAGTAAGCGTGGGTGTAAATTGATCCAGATCCCAAACCGTAGTGTGAGTTTCATCACTGAGATTGATTTCGTTCGAGAAAGTCGATCCAATGCTTCATATATGAAAAAGTGATGAATTTGAGTAGGTAAAGAATTTTTTCATATGTTGATCGCTTTTCATATATGAAAAAGCGTGGGTGTATGTGTGTATATATATATATATATATTAGAATGGTACTCGTATAATGTAACTCGAGACATCTCAATTTTAATGTTTCGTCTTATTATTTGTCTTTGTTGATGTTATAAAACGATTTTATGTGGTTTTGATAAAACGATAATGTTTTATATTTAAATAAAATATAAACTTGAAGATCTCATAAAAATTTGAAAAAATAAATGAAAAGCTTAAGTATCGGTTTTTGAGTTGATTTTAACATTATGCATTCCATATGCAAGTCAGACACGACGGAACAAAATTTTTTAGTCTCACATTTGATATGATTTAAACGAGGACAACCGACAAGACTCTGTAGGCTTAACAAGAAGCAAGATCTAAAAATTACTAAACCATATGTCGAACTACAACTCTAAAACCATCTGTCTATTTCACTCTCGCACAGTCACACCATCCAAACATGTATCGAATGCACACTCGATACCCATTCCAGTAGAAACTGATGGAGCAATTCTGACATGATTTCCTTCATTGAGATACTTGTTATATCCACAAAAATTAACAATAAGATCAGAAAATGGTGAAGGAACTTCAAGTTTCTTTAACCATCGCTGGCCAAGCCAACTTGCCTGTACTCGTCTAATCCCCAGGGTCTTAAAGAACAAAATCCCCATTCGCTTACAAGTTTTTTAACCATGGATGGCCAAGCCAACTTGCGTGCACCTCATCTAATCCCAAGGGTCAAACACAAGGAGTTGGATAAGTTGCATCATCATCAAAAGAACACGTTTAAGGCACAATAAATTCATCATCAAAAGAACAAGGTTAAGGAATAATAAACCGGATAAGTTTTAAGGTTGGTGAGTTGCTAGGTTTCAAGATCATAAAAGAACACAAGTTTTCAGGTAAAAAAGCATGGAAGAACAGCTTCATTTCTAATAACAAACCTAAACAATCTGACCCTCTTCCACTCCATCGCTTTCACCACTCGGATTTTCTGTTACAGGACACCTTCCGTTCAGCTCAGGTTCATTCTGGGGCTCGTTACTCCTGTCCTGTGGTTCATCAGATCCATCTTTGTGGTTGTTGTGGTAGTGGTCAGATCCATCTTTGTGGTTGTGGTGGTGGCGGTGATGATGATCCTTGTTATGCCCATTTCTTCTACCTGTTTCTTCACAATTATCATCAGACGACTTACCCAGTGATCGGCTTCTCCTATCAGGGTCAGACTTGGGTTCATGGCTATGGGACCTGCGATGATGCTTATGGCGCTTCATGTGGTGCCTTTTAACAGCGTCTTCAAAGCTAGAAGCATCTGAATCACTGGAGTCTGAACGTCTATGACGTTTCTGATGATGATGATGCCTTGAATGCCTTCTCTTCCTTGTTGCACCATCATATTCATCACTTGAAGAATCTGAATCCCTTGATCTCATTTGTCTATGATGTTTGTGATGCTTTGAGTGTCTCCTCTGCTTCAAGGCACCTTCATCCTCTGAATCATCGGTCTCTGAATTATCAGAGTCTGATCTCGAGTGATGATGATGTCTATGCTTCTTATGCACTCGCCTCTTCCTGCGATCCTCTGATTCACTTTCAATCGAGTCATCACTATCATCACTTGAACTCGAAGATCTCCTCTTTGGCTTCCGTTTTGATCTCTTTTCGTGCTTCCTATGCTTCTTGTGGGTCTTCTTCCTCGATTTTCTGACCTCCTCGCTGCTTTCACTTTTGCTGTCGCTATCAGATACTGAGATGGATCTTCTCTTGTGCTTTACAGTCTTCAATTTCCTTGAATTGGCTTCAACAGCAGCTTCAAGCTTCTGCTGCCATTTCAAAGGGGCTTCTTTCTTTTCCAATACACGCTTCTTTTTCTCTTCAACCAACTGGATAAATGTCTTGCAGTCCATTCAGATGTAAAAACCAAATCAATACCTGCATTATGGTATGATGATGACCGGGAGTGCATCTCAAAGAGAGAATGACACAATGTTAGTTACTCTATCTTAAAATGTTCAAATGACTAATAGTAAACATGGAAAACTAGTTCATGATTGATTGCAAAATAGAACATACATACAAAATCAATAAGAATGCTAAAAGACTAAGCAATCTTGATTAGTAAAACAAACATGCAAAAGTCGATCTAGAAAATGTTGTCCGTCTACATTAGTAAAACAAACATTCAAAAGTCGATTTTTAACAAAGGCATATGCAAGACTTGCAGTATACAGAGTACATTGACGAGTTATTTCATAACCTCCAAGCATGTAAACTTCAAATTCCAACCAATTCATCAAGAAACCTATCATGAATATAATTATATTTCATTTAGATTGGTATAAAGTTGGTAAGTGGTACACAAACTGATTACAGATATTATCAGAGGATTATAAAACCTGCAACTCCAAAAATGCAAATCAACGATATATGGCTAAAAGAGGACAAGAGATGCATAGCTATCTAGTTCTAGCCATTACTCCTACAGTAATCTTTTAGGTTTCACAACATCTAGCAATTTGAAAAATAGCTAAAATAGCTGGTAGTCTGCCCCAATAACACAAAAGCTCCTCAAATGGTAAAAAACAATAATTAGTTTGGGTCTCTTACCTTATTTGAATAGCCAATACACCAAAGTTTGAGATTCCTTTAGAAAACAAAATCCCAAACTTGTAAGCGTGCTATCCACCAATCTGTGAAAGAATCTGCAAGAATTAAGAACTAATATTTAGGCACCAAGGGAAAAGTGAATGTGTACTGAACCATTAACCAAGTAAATACATTGGAAAATCTAATCTAACGACAAGAAAATTCACTCGTTTTGTCATTGTCCCTTGCCCTAGTTAAAGCAGATTTTAATCTGAATATTTTAAACAGAATCACATTCTTGACCCTTGTGATTTGATATACGATGATCAAACCAATTCTACTATGTGTTTTCAAGAAGAAAAAAGGCACATAATGCAGAGGATAAAGCATCAGAACATAATGCAAATAGAGGATGCAATTTCACTTCTGGTCTCATACAGAATAACTTTCAAGATTCCAATTTAATATGTATTCTGTGAATTTACAGGAAAAAATATAGTGAATACCCACAGAAAGATAAATCTGAAGTCATACTACAAAATTGAAAATTTTGCTACCAGCTTGGAAACGAAAACTACAAGTATTATGAAACGCTTCAACAATGAAAGTTGAATTCCTTTTCTGAAACATATGCAGTAAAAAATAAAGCCCTAGATAAGGATAACGCAACCTAATCAAGTCCCGTTTAGATTCCGGAAAAGCAAACAACATTTTGGTTCATTTTCTAAAAAATTCAATTCCCTAAATCTCGATTCATCAACAAAACCCTAGAACCAAGAAAATCACAATTTCCCCGTCCGATTTACGAAAATAATCAACTAGTTAAAGGTCATCCAACGAAAAAAGAAGCAACCAACAAATTTTGTCATCTTGTAGAAAAGTCAAATCCCTAAAACTCGGTTCATCAACAAATAAATCCAATAAAACCCTAGAACCAAGAAAATCACAATTTCCCCATTCGATTGATGAAAATAATCGACTACTTAACAGTCATCCAACAACTGACACGAAAAATAACAAACCCTAAGCATAGAACCCCCAAATAAGAAGAGGGAAAAGACAAAATGAGAAAGAGATGAAACCGAAGGATCAAAATTCACATACCTGAAACGAATCGGGAAGAAGAAAGTGGGAAATTGGATCGGGCGCTTCGCTCTTGATAAGCAAAAGCAGTCACGATTTCGAATTTCTTCCCTACCAGCTTCTCTCTCGGTATCTGGAAACTTCCTGGGAGGAGCGCTTCCTTTTTATCCAAGAAAACCGTGTGGACTTTTTTGGTCCGTGTTTCCGATTAAGGTTGGGCCGCTGATTGGTTCAGACTTCAAACCACAACGAACCCAAAAGAACATGTTTTGGTTCTCTAAATTGTTTTGTTAAGATACGGTCTTTAAAACGTTAAGAAGTAAATTTTGTTTAACAGAAAAAAAAAATTCCGTCTTATAATAGTTTTAAAACTCTTTCCATGGTTTTGTATCTTGGGTATGCCAAACAATTCAACACGTTAATTTGATTCCGAACAATTATCAAACAATCATATTTCATTTTGCACTGTATCATAAGAGTCTTTTAATCATTTTGACCATTTAATCTGTTAATCATCCTACACCAAACCATTTAGCAACTGTCAAACAACTATTAATATGTCAAAGAGGTATGTTTTGAATTTTGATGATGTTTTTATTTGAGTAAAAATGTTTGTCAACTTTTAAAAAAAACTAAGGGGTCGTGTACCCAGATACTTACCCGGTAAGCGCTTACCTGTAGGAGTCAACACTATAATCTATTTTACCAAATAAGATTGTAGTATATAAAACGGTATCGTATGCAATAATTTACCTGATAAACGCTTAGCCAGGTAAGAGTCTTCACCATCACTTACCGGGTAAGACCCTCTATCCCTTTCATCGCTTTTACCGGGTAAGATTTTCAGCCCTTGCCATGTGCATCAGGTGAGGAAAGTTACCCGATTCACACTTATCGGGTAAGTATTTAGTAAACGGCACCTAAGTTAATTTGATAATATGCTCAAATGTTGTTAAGTAAAAAAATATATTGGAAAATTTCATAAGCTATAATTGGTTGTGTTCGACCAAAACATGCATTCTGACATTAAGTCATAAACCAAATCATATATATTGATTTGATACTGTCTTAAACCAATCAACCGAGTAATGGAGACCAGGCTATTGATTTTGTTTAACGTCATGTCACAAAATCAACGATCAAATGAGAAACAAATGTTCTCAAGTCTTCAAATGCCACTGTTATTTAGACATTAATTAAAAGTCACGAGGTTGACTTTAAGCTTTAGAATTAACTGAAAAGATATATGGGAGTTATGGAGGTTGACTGATCGTTATCAAAGAAAATATGTGTTGAACATTCTTCCTCAAATTCCAAAAGGAACTCAACAAAAAATCATGTTTTTAGTGTGTTTCATTGCCTGATTGGTTTTGAGATTGGATCCAAATGTCAAAAATACCAGGAGGTCCCAGGTTCAAATCCAAAGATGAATAAAAATCCTCTTGTGGCCACAAAAGTTCAAATGCGGTGGCTCTGGGCTATCTGCAAAGCAGGTGGTCGTCTTGGGATTAGTCGGTTCGCATAGCGGGTTGGATATTCAGGTTAATAAAAAGAAGGTGCAAAAAGTTTTAAGAATAAATCATCGAATTAAGATATAATTTATATGTAACGAGATTGCGATTTAAAAATATCGTTTTGAGTTTCAGACTTATGATTATCGATTAATTTGGGGACTTTATGAAAAATGCTTATGGAATATATTTGGTTTTTATTTATTATATAAAATACCCACGTTAATTATGTTTAGATAAAGTAATATGAATATATTAAATAATAGAACATAGAATTTCAAATAACTGTTGAATATTATAGAACATAACAATTAATATAGTGATATATAATTTCATTTTTTTTATATCATAATGAAATATTCCTTTTTTTTATTTTCTAAGAACATTGTCGTTGAGTTTCTTGACCCTTTGCCTTTTAACGAGTGTAATGATATTAAATATGTATGTTTGTGTGTGTATGTATGTATGTATTGATATAAAGGCAAGGGGGATTTGATTAATTTAGACATTTAATTAGTTGAGTGACTTTGGGTTTGATCTAAGTTTTAGAGGAATCGATGTAAGGATGGTGATTTGCCCCGATCCGGTAGGGAACCTGGCTCACCTGATCTGAATGGGGACGACGATTCTCTGCTAAAACGGGACCTGGGGCCGGGGATCCTCAGTAGACTCAAACCAGGGTCGGGGGCTGTTATTCAAACTGGGGTTGGACCGGGGATCCCCGGTAGACTCAAACTAACGAATATATTTCATGGGGTTTGACCGGTGACGGGATGTTAATCCCCATACCCGCCAGGGACCGGGGTCGTTACAAAAAAAAAATCGAGGCCGGGGCCGGGGATTACAAGTCCGCTCCATCTCCGCCCCATTACCATGCCTAGATTGATGCGAGTCCATTGGTGTAATAAATTGTAAATTTCAATTGAAGTACTGCCAAAACTATCGTGACTTTTGTAAGCAGACTTTCAAGCAAATCGTAAAGTCCACATACATATCAACATAACTTCATGTGCTTTAAAAGAAAAATTCATTGAAATGCATAGAATATTTTGTTCTGTTTGAATTATGTGGTCGGACATCGACGGGAACGGCATGATAGTGCCAGAAATGTTGAAATCAATATACATGATGAGAAGCATCTCTATACCCTTTAGTAAGTTGGCCAAAGAAGTTGAAAACGAAACACATGATGAGAAGCACCTCTATACAGAAATGGGCCAATACTGTTGAAACTGAGATACGTAATGACAAACATCTGTATACTTAGTTGTGACCTTATGATAAATTGGTATACGTGGTGAGCAACACCTTTACATCGGGTTGTCTGTTATGACTTACAATAATTGGCATGCATCTACTATTATATTATGGTTTATGCACGTACAATTTTGTGATATATTTTGAAATGAATATTATTGATACATAAACGTTTAATGGGCATACTTAGAAAATTATGAACTCACTAGACTTAGGTGTCGTTTACCAAACGCTTACCCGGGTAAGCGCTTACCAAATCACTTTATTTTACTCGATGGATATGATAAGGACTAAGAATCTTATTTGGTAAGAACGAATGGAAGAATCGAGAGTCTTACCCGGTAAGCGAGGGCGACCACTCTTACCATGGTTAGCGCTTACCGGGATAAATTGTTGCATACGATGTGTTTTAATGAATAAAATTTTATCCGGCAAGTAAGCGATAGTGTTGAATTTTACTAGTAAATGCTTGTGTTGAATTTTACTAGTAAATGCTTACCGGGTAAGCGGTAGGTAAACGGCTAATTATATTTTTTTAATTATTAAAAGGATAAATTTTCACTTAATTATAGATGGAGAAATTTATCCAATCTTTTAATTAAGGATAAAATGAACATTTAGGGGCTGTTTGTTTTTAATAAAAAAGCTCTTAATGTCCTCTTAAATCTGAATCGGTCAGACATAAGAGGATTCAGTGTGTTTGTTTTTTTTTTTTTTCAATTAAGAGCTTAAAAGCTCTTATTAGGTCTGAAAATTTAAGTGGTTGCGAAACCTCTTATTACCTCTTATTTCAAATTGTCGCATACCTACTATGATCTCTTTTCGTTCGATTTCTCTAGATCAACTCTTCTGTCTCGATCTCTCATCTCCCAACTTTGTCAACTGTCGATCCATATCAACTCTCGATCTCTCATCTTCAAACTTCAGATTTCAGACGCAAAAAACAAACAGTCTAACTGATTCAGATTTCAGACTTCAGCACCACCTCTTAAAAATTAGAAGTGAATTCAGACTTCAGACTTCAGCACGTCTTAAAAAACAAACACCACCTTAATTTTAAAAATGGATACTTATTTTAAAACGAATTAAAATAACTATGAGATGAAGACAACGATTAGTCGTCATTTAATTTTAAAAATGGATACTTAAAATGGTAAATTTATTAGAATACTAAAAACAAATTTGAGAAATTTGGCAAGAATGGTCCTTGAGCTAATATCATTTTGTATATTTCGTTAATTTACAACTCGAGGTTCATATATCATTTTCGTATATTATAAGTTATTTATGTTGGGTTATTTATTGATTTGGTGATGACTTACTGCTATGTTCATTTATCCTAGCAGTTATTGATTTTTTTGTATATTGGTTTCTTGGTACATATTTAAAACCCTTGGCAAAATTGAAGACTAGCCGATGTGAAAACAGAATATCACCAATGCGGTACTGTAGATCAACTGTCTAAATTACACATTAATACTCCAAAGTAGATGATTTAAAGATTGAAGATGTTTTGAAACTACTAGCCGATTGAAGGAATATCTTCATGCACCGAGATTTGTAAGTAGTTGTTTGAAGCTACTAATCCATCCAAAAAAAATCTTCTTACAGACTGACTATATCTCTGCAAAACATATACCCGATAAAGGCATTCATTATCAATAGGTTTGTTTATGCATGAACAGTGTTGTATCAATGAAGTAATTTATATTTAGTTTAATAATATAATTTTCTTGTAAATATAATAATTAATTATTTTGTTAGAATTCGATAATTAACCTAATTATATTTTAGATTTTTTATATTTTAAAATGAGATGTTTATCCTCTATTTGATTATGTTTATCCGCAGTTAGTTACACGAATTCAAACATAGAGCTTTGATAAGTTGTACTTATGCATAATTTACTTAAAATCTTGAATTTTAAGTAATATGCATCAATATACAATATTTCATGCATAAAAAATGGTTTTTAAGAGTTTTTGTTAAATGCTTTATAATATAGTATATATATATTCTTAAAATTCTACATTTAAAACTTTATAAAATTAAAAATAAATACATTTAAATATAGAATAAGTACTGAAGCTTACTAAGGTAGTGTTTGACACACATACATGATTGGACAACATTGGACATGACAGATGATAGGACTGGACAAAACAAGTGTATGTCTGGTGTTTGGTATGACTAAGACTGGAGGAGACTGAACTAGACAAGTTACACCCAAAAATATTTGATGATTTTAAATACTACATAATAGTTACAATTAACACAAATAAAGTAAATAATTTAATTTAAGTATGTTTTTACACAATTGTCATATAAATGAATACATACATATATAATAGTACCAAATTTGAATGTAAATTTTGATATAATTGATGGTCGTAGTAGTAGTGGTGATGGAGGTGGTTTTGATTATTGTGGAGGTGGTGGTGGCTGATGGTAGTAGTGGCGATGGGCGGTGGTGGTTATGGAGGTAGAGGCAGTGGTGGTTGGTGGACGACGGTGGTTATAAAGGACGTGAAGATGGTGGAATGTGGTTGTGGTGGCGGTCGACAACGGTGGAGGAGGTAATTGTGACTGATGTATTGAAGATAGTGGCGGTGGTGGTTATGGTGGAGGTGAGGTGGTAATGGACAGTGGTGGTTGTGGAGGTCGTTGTTGCGGTAAAGGAGGAGCTAGAGGTGGCCAACGGTGGTGGTCGACGATGGTTGTGGAGGAGGTTGTTGCGATATAGGAAGAGTTAGAGGTGGCTAACAATGGTAGTGTTGGTGGTAATGGGTGGTTGTGGTCGGTGGCCGATGGTGGTTGTAAAGATGGCAATGGATGGTGGTAGTTGATGGTCGACGGTGGTTGTGAAGGTGGTGAAGGTGGTGAAGGAGATGGTTGTAATAGAGGAGGAGTTGGAGGTGGCGAACGTAGTAGTGGTGGTGGGCTAGTGCCAATTGACGGTGTTGGTCGGTGGTCGACTATGGTAGAGGTGGTGATGGACGGTGGTTGTGGAAGTGGTGGAAGATGTTGTAGTGGAAGAAGAGGTGGAGGTGGCCAATGGTGGCGGCGGCCGAAACTAATTGTGATGACTATTAAAACAAATATCATATTAAGTTTATATATCAAACTAGGGTTGATTAGTAATATTTTAGTTTTTTTCTCATTCTTGTCCCACCTATTTTGGTGGAATAACAAAAAACCTCTTTTGTTCCATGTTGTACCATCTTGTCCTAGTTTTTTACCTGTCTCATGTCACGCCAAACGTGGGACAATGAGTTATTGTTCTGTCCCATGTTGCACCAAACGTGATAGTCCCACCCTGTCATGTCTCGTCCCACCAAACACAGCCTATTAGTACAAAATCGTTCACAAAAACTGGTATTAATTTTCAATCATGGGTTTAAAATAAAATTTATGATCCCTATGCCTTACATTACACTAGTTTACATCTAAGCATATATAAAAGCATAAATAGCATTTGCATCATGATTCAAGATCGCATGAGACCAAATGGGTCCAAAGTCCAACCACACTACACCAGTATAATCCAAAAAAAGACAGCTACATGACCACATCCACTCAGTATTACAGACAAAACAACACCTGCAAAGAACCTCGACTTTAAAAATACCACTGCCAAAACGATAAGTCGATCCACCCACAATATTTTTCAAAAAATTCAAAGGAATCTAGATATATACAGTCCACAAGACAAATGAGAACATCAAGATTCATTTGATCAAATGTTAAGTTCCAAAACTGACCACAACCTCATCTCATTCTTGCATCATATCCCAACCTAAACGAAACAAAATAGTGGAACCCCGTGTAAAAGCGTCTTTTCGGGCAGAAATCGAGCTTAAATATACAACAGACACATGTTTGTACCTTGATGGGAATCTAGAAAAATATTACAAGAATGGAAGCATCACCTTGAGAAACAAAACTAGACCTATGGCTATGGAGGAACTGAACAATGGGTTCACCAAAGAGCAACCACCGGAGAAACTTCCACTAGGCCCATTTGCGGATGGAGGTAGTACTATGCTTGAGCTGGTTGATGGCACCACTGACCCTGGAAGACCCACACCTGGTGCACCGCCAACTTGGGAAGGTGAAGGGGATGGAGCCAATGCCATGCCTGGGCTCACCACCGTGGGTGGTGCAGTAAGCGGTGGAACCTGCTGTGGCCCTGCAACACGTTTAGCAACCAAAGACACATCAGTTTCATAGTTTCTACATCATAACTTAAAACGCCACTACCAATAATCATATCAATCATTGTTATAAACTGTGGGAACCAGTTTTCATGTGTTGTTTCACATATAAAACAATAAATGTGAAATGTACAATGTTATTTTATATGTGAAACGTTCAAGATTGTTCCCATAGGAAAAAAAACAAGTGAAACGACTTAAATACTCGTTTAAAATGAAACTCATTGAATGGTTGAGATTGGTTTTCACGGGTTTGTAACATTTTTGTGGGTTGTATTTGATTTTTCCTCCAAGCCACCATGCCAAGAAACAATTTCACATCTTAAATGGACTCGATTACTTTTAAAATTTTGAAGATCACATTACCTGGACATCGTGGTTGAAGAGAAGTCGACAACCTGCAGGGCAAAGATGCATAGCAAAGTGAGGCCATCAGAAAGACTCTTTGTAATGATCACAATGAGCATTAGGTAAGCATAACTCAAAAAATCTAAGCAAACGTATATCTTTTTTTCAAAAAAGAAGGGATTATAGTGGAGTAAGTTTAGAAGAATACGCAGTGATTATTGTTCCATTGACGAAGCCACCATAACCACAAGAAGTCACATTGCAGCCAGCACTACTCTGCTGAACCGTAACATTTCCTAGCATGAGGTTACTGCTTTTGCATTGCATGCTTGAACAAGAAACTGACAATGAAGCGGGTTGGCAATATAACCTGCACCAAACAAAATGGATATTAATATATAACCGTTCTAAGAAGCCTCTTCAACAATGGCATGGATAAAAGAAGTGTTGTTGTTATAACCTGCTCCCTGGTGTGCAACTACATTGCACACAATGATCTGCGGTGATGGCATAGCCTCCATTGGGTACAGACAAAGCATAGTCCGATGCATATTTTGGGAAGTTTGAAGAACAAGCTGAAAATAACCCATGAGAAGAAACCAATTCTTGAGAAGCTTTAATAAGAATTATGCTATAAACCAAACCAAACCAAACAGACCCAATATATCCTACCGGAAGCTAGGTTTTTTTTTGGGGGGGGAGATGTAGGCAGGATTAGGGCCTGTTTGTTAGCAGCTTAATGAGACTCACGGCTTATTCGGCCAGCTATGCATGACTGTTTGATAGTGGCTTAATAATATAGAAAGTCGCTTATTCAGTAAGCTTCTAGGGGGAGCTTTATGCAGAAAGCCAAGTTTTTCCCAAACTTACCCCTCCCAATTAAAAACCATACTCCATATATGAAAAACTCTACCAAACAAAAATCTTCCCAATCTATTCAGACAGATTAATCCACAAAGACAACTTTATCCATATAGGATTTAATGCAAACCAACCAAACAAAGCATTAATGTTTTGCCTAACCATGATTCTGGAAGCTATGATTTCAATAAATGTTTAGTGTGAGGGGGGCTTGCCCCTTGTAAATTGCTCTCTCTATCCAAAAGGATTTCAATAACTTCCATTTTGGTAAGTTTGATATTCGTTAGAATGTCCTCTTTCAGCAAGTTTTCAAACTAAAATTGCCAATTTTAGTTTCATTGCAAAATATTTCAGTTAATAATTATACGTCTATTTCACTCAAGGCCATGCGAGACATCTGAAACCATGATTGGTCAAACATTCCAATTTTTAGGGACAAACTTCACAATAAAGATTCTTGTTTCTTTATATTCACAAAGCCGTGAATCAATGTGTGAAAAGGATGATGCGCCAAAAATGCACAATTTCTTATAACCCATGATGCATAAACGGTATTACAAAATACTTATTTGAAGAATAATCTTCAAAAACCTCAATATCTCATCATATACAATTCCATCTCTCTGTGTACCCCTAAACGACGAAGACGAACAATAATTGAGTACAGAAAGATAAGTATTTTAGACTCGATTTCAAAATGAATTAAAAATTCAAAGAAAATCATTCCAAATCTCGAAATGAAATGTAAAATACTATAAAAGTTGCAACCTTTATAGCTACCCATTACATCTCCTCTGATGTAAACTAGACCAACAAACATCGAATGATCAAAATGCCAATCTAAAGTAAGAAAATAGAAACCAACTTGAAAAATAAAGGATCCTGCTTTAAACAAAAGTAGAAAAGATCTTCATCAATCATCATTAGCATTCCCACTTCTATAACTCATTAAAACCAGCATTTTCTCTGAAACTACACAAACTATACTCCCTTCATCAGTTCATTACATCAACCTTGCAAGATTTCCCATAAAATTGAAAATTTGCCAATTTTTAGCAAACATTTTACCTTTTAATCGTGCTAATTGTTACACCCATCAGGCCTAAAAATTCCCTTATTTTGCAGTGTATTTTAGAGATGGTATTAACAACGATAAATTTCATAAGAAAATAGCAATAATCAAACAACTTGTTGTAAAATGGCAACAAAAAGAACTCTTGTTTATATGAATTTATTACCTGATAAAGGAATAGCAAGAATATCTCCATCTTCAATGGCTGCATTTCCCAAAGCATTAACACCCATAAGATCCGTCGTCGTCGTCTTATATCTCGCCGCGATCCCCGCCAACGTATCTACCGGTCTCACCACATACGACATATATATCGCCGGCAAAAAATTATCCGTCCCATTGAAACAAGTACAAGGCAAAGGCACAACAAGATTCTGCCCTACATCAAGCACAGACGGATCCGATATCGAATTCGCCTCCTTAATCTGATCGGCGGACACAAGTCCGCCGTACACGGAGTCAGCGATGTTGGACAGCGTGTCAGAAGGACGAGTTTTGTAATGTGTAGCGACGGATTTGCGAATGCCATCGACGCAAGAGCAGGTAATGGGGATTTTGACGAATAGTTGCGAGGGTAGGATGTGGGATTCGACGTCAGGGTAAGATATGTCTATGGAGTTAGCAGAAAGGAGAACAATAGGGTCGATTTGAAAAAGGGCGGCGAGTTCGGAGACTTTGAGGTCGGTGTAGAGGGTGTAGCCGAGGAGTGCGTTACAGGAGTCGTTGTTTGAGCATGGTTCGATTGTTGATTTGGGGGTTACAACAGCCACATTGAAGAGAAGGAGTACGGTGGCGAAGAAGACGAAAATTGCGTTGGTGGGTTTCGCCGGAGCCATTTTTGGGGAGGGAAATTAGGGTTTTAGAAATTTGAGTTCATGAAAGTTGCAGAGAGGAGTGGGGTTTGAGGTACTGAGGAAAAGTGATTCCAGCTGCTTAAAAGATGGTGGACTCTTTCTCCAAGACTAATATCAATAAGTACGAAGTAGGGTACAACTTTTAAAGCATATGTTACAAGTAAGTACATCAGCATTTTCTTGAATCTAACAATTATTGTTCTGGAAAACAACTTACAAAACAAAAGAACATATAGTAATTTCTTGTCTATTGTGACATTGAATAAAATTCGTTTCAATTCAAAATTTAGCCGTTTTAGATGATTTTTTGTTTTTTAATGAAAAAATTGGGAAGTTTATACAAATGTTTTTTTTAAAATTAACCTGGATATTCAATTTGTTATGTGAGCCGACTGATTTCAGACAACCACTTGCTTTGCAGATGGCTCGGAGTTATTACATTTGAACCTCTGTGATCACAAGATGATTTTTATTACTTATTTGATTTGAACATGATACCGCATAATGCTTTTGACCGTTGGAGCTAAGTTCAAACCAATTAAATAACATCCTTGTGGTTAAGTTTATACAAATGTTCGTGTTGTAAGGTTTGAATAGATGATTTTTAAAGAAAAATTTTAAAAGTACATTTTAAATTATCAGTCAAAATAATTTCATGAAGTACATAATATATTGAATTTAGGTTGTAGAAAATAGAACACATTATTGTTAAAAACATGTATTTTTAATTTAATAAATTAATTTGGTTTTTGAAAATATATTTCTCAAAATTATATATTAAATTAAATTATAGACCATTTTAAACAAGATAGCTTAACATTTTTATTTTTTAAAATGAGAATTAAATAAAGTTGTTTGCAAAAAAAGATAATTTTGATATATTTATTTTATCTGGTAAACAAGATTTTTGTGTTAATTTATTACCACAAAAAATGAAAGATGAAAGCATGAGCAAGGTATTAATGAAGATGCCAATTAGTTATAAGAAAAGGAATACTTGTGTGATAGAAAAAGAACCCAAAAAAGTGTGAATGACATAAAAAATAACTATTTTATAATTAGTTTTATTTTATTTTATATATACTATATTATAAAGCATTTGACAAAAACTCTTAAAAACCACTATTTATATGTAAAGTACTGTTCATTAATGCATATTACTTAAAACTCAATATTGCAAGTAGATTGTGCGTAAGTACAACTTATTGAAGCTCCACATCTGAATTCGTGTAACTAACTGCAGATAAACATAATCAAATACAGAATAAACATCTCATTTTAAATATAAAAAATCTAAAATATAATTAGGATAATTATTGAGTTCTAACAGAATACTTAATTATTATC